GGTGGTGAATTAATCGCTGAATATGATCATGCGAGTACTTTTTTTTTGTCGTATGGTTTTTTGATAGAAACAATAAATAATACTGCATTTCTGAAACGTAATATGTTTTGATTTATTAATGTTTCGTTAGTAGTTTTAGTGTTTGGTGAGGGGAATGATGATACTGCTAAAAAACTTAGCTCTTGGAAGATATGTAAAATTCGTCCAAAATTCAGCTGACGTTTTCGATATGAATATTAAAAATTGTAAAAGCTGGTCCAGGTCAGAATGCATCAGTCAATAGTCAGATATCCTATTCTTATTTAACAATAAGTTTATAATTAATAATTTGTGTGAAGAATAGACTCATCATCAACTTTATCCTTTTCAGTCGACTGTTTGTAAAATATCGAAAATGTGGATATAAATATGGATGTTGTATGTATTTCACATACCCACCTATGCTTATACAAGAAAACCTTCATCTCCAAGATGTGAATGGATCAATCTTGTGTCTGATAGATTCTTTTCCTTTTATAGTTGCTAATGTACTTCTAGTTGTTTGATAAAATCCTTTATTATATTATAATCACAGTTAAAATTAAAAATTAACAAAAACAATCAATAAATAAAAATGAAAAGTAAATTTTCTTGTTTGCACTGATAAGAATCACATTTAAATTTGATGTACAATACAATTAGAGAAAGAAAAAAAGGACTCCAAATAAATACTAAATAAATCAAATAAATAATGTTTATTTTATGCTTCATTACCAAATGTAAGTAACACAGAAAATTTTTCACGAAAAATATGCCAAGTTTTTGCTTTATGCGGATTATCCAATTCTTCACGTTTTAATAAAAGTCTAAAAATAAAATAAAATTTATTTATGAAATCATTTCTTATATACATACGAATTATTTTCAATAAATGATGTATTAAACCAAAAATAAAATGCACAATCATCATAATTTTTTGGAACTTTCTAATAAAAAAAGAAGTAGAAAAACATCTAACTAATATTTAATTCAAATATTTACTTTATTCGTTGAGAAAAACATTATTTTAACATCGCCTTTCAATGGAGATAAACGAATATCGGAAATAGTTACTTTATCTTCTTCTCTATTATGTTCGTTCTAGAATTGATAAATAAATAAATAAAAATGATTAAAAAGAAGTCTTTTACTTTGCAAGAATTTGTATCAAGTTGATTATCTTGACGTAACTGAAATTTTCCCAATAATTCATCGTAATTGCTAATTGTAAAAAATAAATCACTACCATCACCATTTCCAATACCTAGAAAATAAATATTATAATAGAATAAATCGATATTTTATTCAATTAAATTTATTTACTTGCTATTGCTGTAATAACAATTGAATTTAATGTTACGACTTTCGTTGGTGGCATTTCATGATTATAAATATGAAGAATTTTATCATAATAACCAACATATCGTGTTTGTGATGGTGTTTCAACACCTTGATATTGTTTACCATGACGTAAATCTGTTCGTCCTTCAGCAAATAAATCCAATGCTTTCTAGATACCAAGATTTAGATAGATTTATGCTTTACTACAATAATATTTTATGTTTACCTCGGCTGTTTCACAAATACCACTTCTCAATAAAGCAACTGATATCATTGTTCCAGTTCGACCTTTTCCACCTTTACAATGAACAGCAATAACATTTTTTTCATTTTCTTCAAACCATGCAGTTACTGAATCTGCCATACGAATCATATCACTATATCAAATGAATTCATATAAGCTTTTCTTAAATTTTTCTCTCTATTACTTTAATCTTGGTACATTATGATCATCAATTAGAATACGTTCAACTCGATTATGAAAGAAAGTTGTATCATAAAAACGTTCACCTAAACATTTGCTTTACTTATAAATCTATAAGAAACAAAAATATCTTACTGCAAAGATTGTATACACGATAATGATTGCCATAAGTTATATCAAGATAATGACCAACATCCTGAAATAATTAAAAATTTATAGTTCATTGATCAATTTTCGATATATTAAATATGTCAGAGCTCGATCATTCACACGGTATATATATACATATTTGTATGAGCAAAAAAAACGATTACAGTCATATGAAAAAATCAGTGTATTCAATAATAGAAATCGTAAGTGCATGTCCCAATCTCTTTTTTCTACGCCCATCACTTACAACAATATCATTTCGAAAAAAAGCATCTTTGCCTTTACTTGGAAATGACATAGCAATAATTCTATCTAAATAGGTGTATGGAGTAGATATTTTTTATTGCAATATTTATTCGATATTACATATATATATATATATATTTATGAAGAAATATAAAAATAAACTTACCACTTATAGCACATAAATCAAGATCAAATCCATTACCAATAGTTCGTTTTTTATTTTGTCCAACTAAATGACGAGAACCTGTTTTAAAATGTTCTCGATGTTGAAGGATACGTATTGTTCGAATTAAACTAGCAAAACGAAATACACGCGGTATAATAATGAATCTATGATAAAATAAAATAAGATAATATAATATATATATATATATAATGAAAGTATTCATGTATTGATCTTGAATTTCATTACTGAGATACTCATGATTAACTATTCAAATACACTATGCTATCTCAATACTTAATGAATTCCTTTCAGATATATACATACTTTCCCCATTGTGCTTTATGGCCATCATCAAACAAAAGTACAATATTAACAATAAGACCAGCAGTCATGACAACTAAATCAAATACTTCTAATTTCTTCTGGAAAAATTCCGACCTATGAAAAAAAAAGAATTAAAAATATAGAAATAATTTTCATTTACCCTTGAACAAAAATACGAAGACCAATATCCATCATAAAAATAACGGATAAAATTGTACTAGCTATAGTCAATCCGTATGCCTGCGGTGTACCCTCTATAGAAAGAAACTCATATATTGGTTATGTTTCTTTTCTTCTTGTAATAAATACCTTTTGCTATCGAAATAGCAATGATAATTAAATCAGCAATAAATAATAGTGCAATAGTAAGTCGAAAGCCAATAGTTTCAATGAAACGACGAAGTTTGTATCGATATAAACTATTTAAATAATATTATATAAATAAAAAAGACAAAAAACATTCATTGATTGGAATTACTCAGTTGCAGTTTGTTTTGCTGATCTTTTGTCATCAACAGATAAGACACTAAATATATGATCAGATATTTATATTAATTAACATATTGAAAATACTTACGCTTCGTTGAAGTTAATCTTTACTTGACCACCTGAATCAGCATTCATTGATGTTGTTTTTCCAGCTTGATATAAAGGATTGTCCATCTGAAATTATTATTTATTATCACATCGACTAAATCGATAGCTTGTATATATATATATATTGAGTTTTACTAAACATTGACTATTTTCGTTTGAGAACGAAACAAAAAAAAAACGTAAGAAAATAATGCATACACAAAAGTTTGATCATGCAATAATAGATACAGTAGTAAAAAAAAACGATGATTTCTAATCATCTTATTGCATTTTGTTTTTTGTCAATATCAGAGATTATTAGTTCCATATATATTATGGAATATAAATATGCTAGACTATATAGAAAAGAAATAATTTGCGTACAAAAAAAATAGACTATACTTATTCATCAATATCAAATAGACTTGAAAAATAATCAAATGTTAAATAGGCGACTGTTGATGCAGGTAAAACTTTGACAAGATTCGGTAATGAACCAAAATAGAAACCACGCCATCCATCAATTCTAATAATTATTAAATGAATATAAGAAAAAGAATGCAATTCTTTACATACCTCCATATTCTACCCATCATTTCAAACATATTTTCTGGTACAATCTGATATTGTTGTCTTGTTCGTATAAGATATAATGGATATGATGCATACATTGCCGCTAGAGCACTCACATTCGAAATCATTGTTAAAGTTAGAATACCTATATCAATTGAAATATAAATATTTCTTGTATTTTGAGAAAATTACTGTACATACTTGGTTCTTCTAATGAAGTCACTTTTTCTCGATAGACTCGTCGAAGATATTCATAAAGAGCAAAATCAATACCAGCAGCAGGAAATACTAAATTTAGAAAAATCCATTATTTTTATAAATCATTTCGAACTTCTGTCGCTTTTGTTACCTCCAAGAGAATTGGCAAAATATCCACGATAAAATACTTTCCAACCTTCACTTCTATATAACTTTCGAATGAGATCCATTATAGAACTATATTGTCCAGTTGTTCGCATAGCAGCTGAAAATAATTATTCTACAGATTCAGTTTATTAAATTTTCCTTTTTTTACCTTGAGTTTTAAGTACTTCTAATGGATAAATACATGTTTGAGCTATAAAACCAGATAAACAACCAAGACCAAATAACTCTTTATTTGTTACGGGTGATACAATCTACATACAAAAAAAGAAACAATGTGAAAAATTCTTATCTAACAAAAATATTCACATACGATTTCATCATAATCACCACGAAGTTCACGAAATGTTTCAAAAATGCCTTGTCGAAGAGCCATTTCTGGTGTCATTTTAAATACTGCAATACCATTACCACGCCAAAATGATCGAATACCTTTCACACCACCTCCACCTTCTCCATACAGAGTACTATAAAATATATTGAGAAAACAAAAACTAAATTTTGAAAAACTAATATAATTATACCTTGCTGTTGTTAATAATTTTTTCTTTCCCATCGCTTGCATATAAATTTTTAATCGATCTAATGGTGCTGTTACAGTTCGACTAACCATGCCTGAAAGTGCACCAGCAATAAAATGTCGAGCATAAAATCCATTTTCACGTTCTTTTTCAGTATATGAATTAGGCATTTGTTGTTCATTAATTGTATCTAATTGTACACCACGACGCCATGAACGAAGTGATGCTTCTAATTCAGTTGATGGTGCAAAACGAAAATATGTTTGCCATTCGGAAAATGTTATATTAAAATCTTTATCGCGATCAAGTACTTCAATAATTTTCATCAAATCTTTTTTTTTTAAAACAATTTTTAAACGTGAAAATGCTTTCGCTAATTCAACTGGATCAACTACAAAAATAGAATTAATAAATGAATAGAAAAAAAGTTTTTTAATTTCTATCTTACCAACACCATCTTTATTTAAATCAATTTCTTCGAAACTAAAGAAAATAAAATTTTTAATTGAAATAAATACGTTTGCTATTACCTTAGTTTCAATTGTTTTTGTCTTTCAAGCATTATTTGAAGAAATTTTTCTCCATCAATTCGATCACCTTTTGGTTTTAATGATGTAACTATAGGAGATAAATACAAATTTAGTAGAATGAAAAATTCATTTTGAATGTACTTGTCTATGATTAATATCACTCACGGAATTTTCTCACTTGTTTCTTTCTTTCTGGTTTCGATCGATTATCTTCATCAATACGTTGTAAAGCAGCTTCTAAGTCTACAATACGTATTCGACCATTTCCATCTTGTGCAAGTTTATGTACGACTTTTTCAATTTCTTTAATACTTTCATCGTCTTGATTAATTTTTTTCTTTCGACCAAAGCTGAACATATATAGATCTTTATTTTCTGGTTTTTCTAAAATTTATTTTAAAGAGAAATGAATTTTTTTATATACAATTTTTTTCAAAATAGATATTATTAGCATTTTAATTATATATCAGACATATAAGATAAATAATTCTTCTACGTAGACAAAAAAAAACAAAAAAGAAAACGTAAAAGACAATTATTGAATTTATTTCATGATTTGTTTTATGAAATAAATTCACTGTTATATACGAATAAAAATAAAATTATCATTAATGACAACAGATAAACATTAACGCATTTTTTTTGGCTTGACTAGATTAATAGAATTTTGAAATCTATTCATATCAAAAACAAAAAAGAAAATATAAAGAAATTTATTTTGCAAATGGTGGAACAATAGCAATTGGTAATTTCGTTGTAGAATTAAAAGAATTATTGATTAACATTGGACGAGTTGTATATAGTTTCGATGAGTATGGATATGGAGGATTTGCATAATATGATATTGGTAATGTTGATGTCACCTAAATAAATAACAATACAATATGTTTTTGTTTTATTGTAAAACATGCAAAACAATAAGCAGCTGATAAGAGAGATTTATTAAGCAATAGAAACAAAGACCTTTTATAAAGAGATGATATGTGAATCACATGTGTCAATCATCGATAAGGGGTGTAAGTGTGGATCAGTCTGCTTCAGGGACATATCGACTAGAGAGGGTGGGGCATAACACCCTCTGCTCTGGAAAATTTTTTTGTTGTGCTAAACAGAGATGGACAACTCCAACTCGGAGTTGACACTTTAACTCCTGAGAGTTGGAGTAGAGTTTTGCAAAAAGGAGTGGAGCTGGTTTTCGTGATTTTTTCCAACTCCGATTTAACTCCTGTTAAATCTGTACTTTTTCACAATCGTATTGCTAAAACTCGACTTATCAAATCGGAGTGTAGCTGGATGAAGTTGGAGTGGTGTACCCCCGGAGTTGCCCATCTCTGGCGCTAAATTTAAACAGAAACTCGTGCTACGCCCCTCCTGCCCTCGACACTTCGGTACATCCCCTGGCCTTCTCTTCATTTATACGCACACTCACATTATACATAACTTATTAACTATGATATTTTTCTTCTCATATGTCTGTTTTAATTTCATTTAGTTAAATAGAATATCTTTAAACGATAATGTTAATCTACTAATTCTCTATGTCATAAATAAAAGTTGAAAATATAACATGTAAATTAGTATACAAAGCAAGCGAAAGAAGTTAAGCATTTATATCTAATTTTTTCTTTTTACTGGAATGTTTTCGTTTGATTAATTTTTCTCTTTCTAAAAAGTATAGATTCGTTTTTTTGTTAATAATTCATCAATAAAAAATTCTATTTTATTTACATGAGATCGATTTGGAATATTTTTCACATGATGATAAGAACGATTAGTTGAATTATTTACAATAGGCATTAATGTTTCATGATCATATTGTAACCAATCTGCTTTATATGGTTCAGTTAATCGACCATTCCAATTTGATAATTCATGCTGAAAAGAATATATTAAATAACAACATATTGAAATTAAAATAAACTAACTATTCGATAATATTCAATAAGTTCATCAAGAGATTTATGTACTTTGGATTCGCCAATAACATTATATTTAGAATTTTTTAATTGATTTATCATATAATGTCGACAACGATCTTCAGCTCTAAAAAATTCGATTTTGAATTAGAAAATAAAATGTGATTATTTCTTTTTTTTACCGAAATGATAATGAAAAACCAAAACGACTTTCACTGAGACGAATCAAAAAATGACCAATCGGTTGATTCATTAATAATTCTTCTGCTCGACTAGAAAAGTAGAAAAAACAAGTTATTAATTATGTTTTTTCTATCTCAGCAAAACTTGTATTCATACTGTCGAGTAATATTTCCATGAAACCAACTAGGAAATGTTCCATTTTGACATACATATGGATATTGTGTATCACGAAACCATCTAAAATATTTAAACTTATTTGAAATAAAAATAAAGATTTAAATCAATCAACCTTAAACAAGATTCTCGTTCACCAGGCGAACCATATTTAAGTGTTAAATATGAAAGTAATGAATCATAATCAACCATTAATTGATTTGTTGTTAAAGTACTTGTAGGTGTTGTTGTTGATGAAACTTTTGTTGTTGGTAAAGAATATTTACCAGCTGTTCCATTATTAATTATTTGGGCAGAAACATTAAGTGAACTTTCACGAACTGGTGGTCGTGGTCGTACGTCAAGTTCTGTATTTATTATTGGTGCTGTTTTACCTACAAATAAAAAATTCATTCTCATTGAGCCTTTGACAAGGGGGGTAACAGAGGACTCCAAGACTTCAAAGATTTCAAGAGACTTTAAAGACTTCTTGAGTAGTGGCGTAACCACCGGGGAGCTCAGCTCCCCCTAGGAGATTTTGAGATTCTCTCAGACTCTTAGACGCTCTTGATAAAAAAGTATGAAGCTCAGCTCCCCTAGAGCACAACCCTGGTTACGCCACTATTCTAGAGACTTCATGCATGAAGTCTCTGTTGTATACCCCTTGGCCTTTGATTCTTATATTTATATCCTCTAGTGATAAGTCTTATTTATTAAATAGAATATCTAACCTGGAAGTTTATCATGAAGTTGAGTCAGTGTATATACAAGTTGATTATTAATTTCTTCAATATAAGCACAAAATTGATTGACATCATTTTTATATGTTTTAGAAGTTAATTTTAATTGATTTAACTGTTTTCTTGCCATAAAACCCCGTAATGCTATAAATAATGCAAATCATGTTTTCCTTTTTTCTTAATTTTAAAAAATTACTTCGTTGTATTAATAATGCTGCTTGTCGATATTTATTCATTAATTTTTCCAATTGTTCCGGATGATAATATTTAAGAAAAACTTTTGTTTTTCTATAGAAATATAATTTTTATGAATAAAATTTATTAAAAGAACGATATTCTTTTACCCTAATTGCCATTCAGTTAATTTTGTTTCTTCGAGAATATGATGACAAGTTATCAATGGTGAATCAATTGAACGTTTTTTTGATAAAAGACCATATCTATTTCGTCATAAAATATATAACTATATGAAAATAATAAAATATTTACTTTCGTATGAATTCTTCAAATGTCAATCGGACAGAGTATCCTTCTTTACGAATTCGAGTTGTTTCTAACATACCGCAATAACGAAGCTAAATATTCGAATATTTTATTTTCTATTCTTCTATTAAATATAATCTTACTTGTGCACGAACAAATGTATCATCAAATAAATGTGCTCGTTTCTGTTGATTAGGTTTAAGACAACGCATAAATACTGGATGTGATGCACACATTCGATCCATTAAAATTTGTAATGAATTCTAGTAAATATAAAAAAGATTTATTTATATATTTTTAATTCAAGAATTTATTTACTCGGTATTGAGCACCAACTGTCAATCGATTTCGAGCATCTTTTTCAGCTGCTGTTCGGTGTTGAAGCTAAAAAAAACATGATTTTTTATCTTTCCAGGAATATTGTCCATAGAGATGGGTACAGGATAGAATATGTAATCATCATCTTGTCATATACTTCGCTAATCTGTCTCAGTCTTAATCAAGATTAATCAGATGTACAAGGTTTCACACCTAAAGTCTTCGTCAGACCGCATTATCTATAATCCTATTTATTCTTACTCTATTATTGGAATTGATTGTACCATCAATTGGATTTCCATGAAAAAGTAAACGTATCAGATCATCTTGACTATGTTTAAACATATCAACAACACTGTCGGATAGAGTATCACGATTTTTTTCCAAAAAACCCAATGCACAGTAGGAAACTTTGCCAGCATAATGATGAATTATAAATGATGATTTATTATTACGATTTATTGAATAACATTCATGTTTATTTGAACCAAAATGATAATTTAATTTTTCAACAAATGTTTGATCAGTTGCCTAAATAAATAAAAATTAATAAAACCTCAATTACAAATCTTAATTCTTACTTTCGGAAGTCGACTTTCATCATCTAATAATGACAGAATTCCCAATGGTTTTGCCATAAATAATTCCTGTAAAAATCGAAATAAAATTTATGCAAAAAACAACAATTATTTTTACCAATAATAAATGATTATCTGTAAATGCTAATGTTTCAGCCATGATACCTTCACTTTCATATTCTGCCATTTCAATACGGAAAATATGCTAAAAGTAAAAAATTCGAAATAGTCCTATGTTCTTTTATTTTAAAGGCAAAAAATCGAAATCAAGCGAAATCTTAGTCATTTCAAACTACCTGAAATTTAATTCTATAGAAAATAAAAATATTCTTGATAGTAATGAAATATCTTTTATAAAATACATACTTGATTAAAGAAAAATTGAATTTGTTCATTCGCTAAATTGATACATAATTGTTCGAAACTATTTAATTCAAAATGTTCAAAACCTATTGAAATAAATAAATTTAAATATATAAATTGTGTTTTTTTTCGTCTATACCATAAATATCCAGAAGACCAATTTCAACAATTTGACGATATTGTTGAATTGGATATGCATTATTTAATGTTTCATTGATTTTTCCAATAAGCCAAGAAAATAAACGAGCATATAAATGTTTTGATAAAGCATCACGCGCATCTATATGAAAATTGTTTACGAAAAATAGATAAAATCGTTTTTGTTGAAATACCTTGACTTGATTGTAAACTGAATTTTCTAGTTACTCTTTCATTACGTGTCAATGTTGTTATTGTTGTTAAACATTCCATAATTAAATCAGAATTAACACCAAACATTTTCTAAATTATATTTAGAATTAAAATATATTATTAATCATTGATTATATTACATACAGCAATAATTGCAAGATTATTTTTAGTTTTTTCTTCATCAAAACATTGTTGTGTAAAACCTTCATCATCTGTGGAAAACTCAAGATTACCAATAGTTAAAATACCAGATAATATACGAAACATGGAATGTTGTTCCTAAATAGTAAATAGATAAATAAATCAACTAACAAAATTATGTATAAATATGATGTAGAAATCGTATTTATCTAGTTGAGTACTAATTAATACTTTATCTCAATAGTAAAAATCCATGAAAATTCTTCCTCGATGTTAATTGAAAGATTTATCGTGTTTATTGTTTTTTCTATTATATATCTTCACTGAACTTAAAGAATTGGTAAAGTACTTTTTACCTGAAATCTATCATAGATGAATTTTAATCCTATATAAAGCTAGTTGTCCCGTTGAATATCAATCAAAGATATTTAAGAAAACACTATAAACACAATGAAGGCATACATACGATGCACTAACTATTTCTATCGGCTACATCACATTCAGGTCGAAATTTATTGATTCGGTCTGCAATATTTACTTCTATTAGAAATATACAGGTCTACTTAAAAGAACCAACGTATGAAATATTAGTTCGTATTCGATTCTTTCTCTAAAACTATGTCCCATATTCTCTATCTCGAAAAAGATTATAATAGAAATGATTTATTTCATTCATACTTTATCAGTAAAATTCAGTAAACCCATTGCATTGATAACTTCATCTAATGAATTCATAGCACCATTATGTTGAATATCTAATGATGAATTTGTTAACAGATATCTTTAAAAATAAATATACAAGAAAATCGAATATTCAATATTTAATTCTGATACCTATAATCATATTTTGTACGTAAACATAAAATTTGTTTTGTTTCTGGTGGAAGATAATCGAATAAATAATAAAATATATGAAAATTTCTCTCGCCCGGACTTTGTGTTACTACACGAGATTTTTCTAATAAATAATCACTAATCTGAGCACCAATAACTAAAATAAAAGAAATCTTAATAGATATTTATTTCTATATCATTTATTTACCTTTGCCATTAACAAATTTCAAAGCAATATATTTTCCAAATCGACTCGAATTATTATTCATCACAGTTTGTGCATTACCAAAACTTTCTAACAATGGTGTTGCCTAAATAGATATCAAAAATGTTTTTAATTCAATTTCAAATGATATCTACTTGTAAAATTTGTTGTTCTAATTGAGAACTACCACCACATAAATACATCAATTGTTTTAAAAACAATTTTGTACTCTCTGTTTTTCCTGAACCTGATTCACCACTAGAATAAAATAAAAATTCGAACATTATTTCATATGATTATTTTTTCTTACCTGATCACACAACATTGTTGATTATATATGCCATGACAAACATTTCGATAAACAAGATCAACAAGTGCATAGACATGAGGTGGTTTATGAATATCTTTCGAATATCGATAAAGATCACGAATCTAATATATTTAAATAAAATCTTAGAATATCAATTAATTTTAATCTTGATGAGAACTATTTTATACCCAATACTTTCGATTCTATAAATACAATTTCCTCTCTATGATCAAGTAACATTTTTCTAACAATCTAGATATAGTTTTTCTGTGGCGAATTAATGTCAACGCATCGAATTTTTGAACCTATTATGATATAAAATAAAACCATTAAAAAACAAATGCTCAAGCTCTTTCTGAATTAAATCTACATATATTGTATTTTATGTATTTAAAATAAAACCATAGAAAATATCGAAAGATGTTGGTTTATCAACATAAACGATTTTACAGTTTCTTATTTATCCTTGCCTCTTTTGTATACAGATTTGTTTCATTAAATGGATTGACAGCAACAAGAATATCTCCAAGATAAGTCTAAATTAATAGAATGAAGAAGTTTTTGTTTAATTAAAGAGGAAAAAAACTTACATAGATTAAATCTTGTTCATATCGTTGTTTTAATTGTTCGAGTAAAATATCTTCTGTTAAATGACTAAGTTTGGCAAGATCGTCATATTTGCCTTCTATTGATATAGTATCTTTATCAGATAATAGTAACTGTTGCTCTTGTGTCAACATGATTCTAACATCTGAAAAATAAATGAAATGAAAGACAAGAAGATGATACAAAGATAGAAGCTAAGATTATCCAATAACTAGAGTGTCTCGACAAACATTTGCCGTTCTCAATAGCTTATATTATTCGTTTACGGTGTCATCAGAACATGTTCAACACCTTTTTCGCTTAGATGATACGCGTGCACCATCACGATCACTTCTCTCTCTTTTCTCATCCATAAGCAAATAAAACTCATCAAGACAAAAGAAAAGCGAAAAGAGAAGTAGGAGGAGAAGAAAAAAAGAAAAATATACACTATCAACATCTATAAAATAGGCAATTTAGGACGTTCTTTCTCGTTCAATCGGATAATCAATCTTCTCCCTCATTGAACTAGGTCATATACATTCATCTGTCTCCTACGAATATAGGGTTAATGACACAATAAAACTTGTGTAGAAAATCAACTATGTTGATTAACTCTATATATATATATATCACAAAATATTTATATAAGAAAAAAACAACCCGAAAGAATATGAGCGGCTCCGTTTCTTCTGTGTCACACACATCATCACCGGAAATAAAAAGATTGATATAGGATAAATATATATGTATATACAAGCGCACACACGCATACAAAACATTAGTCTATTTCTTATCAAATTGACCGGTGAGTACTTGAGCAATATAATTGATTGTTGTTGGATGTCTTAAAATAGCTAGATGTTCGACACCAGGTATTTCTAAACTATGTATATCTTGTTTTTGTTTACTTTCCCATTTTTTAAATCCAAGTAAACTTCTTATATTAACTGTTCCATCACCATTATCGGGTAAAACAACAGGTTGTAAATCAGGAAATGTACGATTATCATATAAAAGTACACCGGGTGTTGGCATTTGACTACCATATAATTCATGTAATTCAACTTCAGGTGCTCGTGATTCATCAACTAAATCTTTATTATTTAACCAATACTGATAACCAGTTGGAAATTGTATATCATTAAATAATGCTTCATAATCATTTACTGTATAATTACGTTGTCCTGATACAACAACAACTTCATCTTTGTCCCAAAAGTTTATATTGGGCATAACAAATGCAGTTGATGGAGCGGAACGTTGATAAGGTCGAACACGATAAGGAGAAACAACGTATACCTTAATTAATAAAATACAATGAATTCAGTATATCGAATAAGAAATACTCATAGTAAAAGATCTTTTTTTTCTTGTTTAATAAGATAATGTATTATCTACCTCGTATAGTTTTATATAATTGATCTTTAAATGTTGTCTTGTCTCGTACAAGGACATTACAAGCAACAAAAAGAAGTAGTTGTAAAGAACAGATTATAATTACGTAAGAATATATATTCGATTAACTAATTATCATGATGCGACTGTTGCTATCTGTTATATTTAGTTTAAAAAAGACTCAACATTTTCCAAGTTCTAAGGTCACCAGAACCTTCTCTCTCTCATACATACAAACGAAACTCAATTAAATTCGTCCTTCATGTTTTATTAATACTGAATAAACCAAATGGAAAACTTTTTTTCTTAATTCTGTTCTTCTTGGTACAAATAACTTACATCAATATTATCTCCACTAATCATTAATCGAAGTGCTTTTATGGCACCACCCCATGGTGCAGCAATATTAACCATTGAACGAATATATTTTGCTTTAAAAGCAGCCGTTTGTTTATGAAGCCAATACAAAGCAAATGGACCTAAATGAATATGTACTTAAAATTTTATTCAATCAAAATTATAATAACGAACCTCCCATACTATGTGTTACAATTACAACTGGTGTTTGATTATTTAATTCATACGTATCTGTAACTAATTTAGTAAAATTATCGAAAAATTCATCTTGTTCATCAATACCACGACGAAAATCATAACTAACAATAAGAAAAAAAATGAATTTTTTTGTTTACATCAATGACAATCTTACGGAGCTCCACGTAAATTTACACCTCGTGTATAACCAAGTGTAACAAGACTTTTGATAATTTGTGCAAAATATGCTGAATAAGAAAAACCAGATGCATCAAAATATTCAACAGTCGATGTGTTTCCAAAACCTGGTATTTGTATATCTACACCTTCTAAATTTGATGTTTTTTTTGTTGTTTCATTATATAGTAATCGCATATTATCAACCAAACAATCGATAACTTCAGGAGAAAGTAATCGAACATCAAGCCATAATTCAAACCAATCTGAATGACGAGAACAAAACCAATGGGGTGGAGGAAGTGTACGATTTAATCGTGCCCAAATTTGTGAACCACCATCACCCGGAATGAATATAGCTGGATAACGAATATCATCAGCAATAATATTATGAAGAGTATAAATAAGAAAGAAGAAAAACAAACGCCCAAACATTTGATCAACAAAAAATATGTGCAAACACAAAAACAAAGAAACAAAAATTTAAAAAAATATTTAGAATACTAATGGATTAGCTTTTTTTTTCTCATGCGATTCGATGATTTCATCATTAAGGATAGATAAGAGTATGACACATCGGACAGTAGCTGATTTTAAACCAATGAAATTTTAATTATTTTATTTTATTGATTTTATAATTTAAAAGTAAATAATTTCACTCTTGAAGATTAATAAAATAAATCTAAGACTCGCCATATACTTTAAATAATTGTGAAATTTCCGATCGATTAGCGACATCTAGAATGATTATCTCAATTAATATTTTTTCTCACCTCGTTTTTTTATTAGTCTTGTAAAACACTACTCTCAGTTTTACATTGCACAACAAGAAAAAAAATAGAATCCAAACATTCTCCTTACCTTATTGATTAAACTGTAGGAACGTTATAAGTTATTTTGGCATCGCAATATGTTGCAGTTATGCCCAGTATTGACGTGTGCTATATGATTTTTGTGAGTAGAAATAAACTTTATGGTTAACATATGTATGAGTATAGTATATAAATAGCAGTTAATTGAATGTTTTTTTAATTGCTGAAAGTAACATGATTAATCATGCTTAAATGATTGTCAAGACCCTCTAAAATAGTGATGATATATATTTGTATAAATCAATATAGCCATCGAAAATAGATAAGGTTGATGTACCTCCGATTGATTATGTTAATCGAATACTTAATCGTTTTTATATAGATTATATAGCGATGAACGAACCATTTTAACACATTAAAATTCGACTCGATTTTGATTAATGATAAGATAAATCTAATGAAACAATTTTTTCCTAGCACGTGTTATAATTTTGTGAAATTAAATTTATCATTTTCATTGATTATTGTCAAAGAATAGAAATATATCTTTCTTTATATACAACATATAGCGAGCTGCTCTAGTTGAATAAATGATTCTATCACAAAACTTGAAAGACATTCTCAATTTCTTTATTTACAATTATTTTTAGTCAGACAACGAACAAATATTGGCTTCACGTATATAAATATAAGACAAATTTCTCATTCTTGTACAAGTATCGTCGTCTAAATTATTCGAAATTGTGAACAAATGTCGCAACAATGTGCTGAATCAAAATGTGAACGAAGATTTCGTGCTTCATGTGATTGTTGTAACAAAAATCTTTGTTTACAACATTTAAATGAACATAATGCGTTAGTCATTTCTCAATTAACTCCTTTAACCGATAAAATCAATATGCTTTGTCATCAGCTCCAATCGTTCAATATACATGAAGTAACTGGCATTGGTCGTGGAAAACTTGAACAGTGGCGAAAAGATTGTCATGAGAAAATCGATCAAATTTTTGAGAAAAAATGTCAAGAACTCGATTATCTATTTACCGAAGAAATGAATCAACAAAATAAGAAAATTCTTCAGATAAAATCAAAAATAGATAAACTCATTCGTGAACAAGAAGCAACGAAACAAGATATCGATTTATTGACATCAGAAATTCATCAACTTGATGAAGAAATAACCAAACTTAACATAACAAATTTTCAAATTAATACTTATCCATTAGTAATAGAAGATAGTTTTATTCAAATCAATAAAATTGATGAATATAAGATTGATCTATCAAATGTTGCACATGTTCACAGAACACTTAAAATTCGTGATGGAAGTTATACAACACTAGCCGACAATAATCAGTTTCTATTAGTACATCAAAAGCCAAATCTATGCTTGATTGATCGAGAAATGAATGTAGTAAAACAAGTTTTATGGTCGTTTAAATCCATTTTGGATATGTGTTGGTCATCGACATTAGATCAATTTATTATTATTGAGGAGGAGAATGTTTTCATTCTCGACGATAAAACAATGTCCATTCAGAAAATGAAAAATATTCAGAACCGATCGTGTTTATCATGTGCATGTTCAAATACATCGTTATTTCTGTCAACAAATTCATGGGGATCATCTATTTTACAATTAAGATTATCACCTTCGATTACTATGGTCAAAGAATGGACATCTCCTATTACATGTGCAAAAGATGAACGTATTGACAATATGACTTACAGAAACGAGACACTCGCTATAATCATTAAGAATAACGTAGACAAATCGGTGCGGATAGAACTTCGATCATGTGAAACATTGAATCGTATTTGGTCACTACCGCTCAATATTATATCCAATGGACCTATTTTGTTTCGTTGTTGCTCACTCAACTATATGGAATGGTTGGTCACAGATCACGAGAATAAAAATCTATTACATATTACACGAGATGGTAACTTAAAGACATTCGTGATGTATGATAGAATACCTTATTGTGCTCAATTACTTCACTCAAACTTGCTGATTATATTTACCGAAAAAGGAATCAATTCTCATCAAGTTTAATATCAAATATTAACCTTATTCTTTATATACTTTTTTCGTAGATAAACAATCATTAACGAACGTAATATTTATTATTTTAGAAAAACGAAGAGCAGTTAAAAACGAAGGGAAAGAGATTATATTTTAATCTATCTATAGTTTAATAATTTTCAAAATAAAAAAAAGTTATACACAGTGTTTTTCGTATAAAGTTTGACATGTAACTATAAAGAATATTGACAATCGATTTGAAATTTCTTGGGAAATTTCGACTTCTTTTATAGTAAACTGTGCCAAGTTATTCCCTTTCCATATTTATCTGTTTCGTGCATAGTATTAATTGCAGACTCTTTCGAAATTTTATTCAAAAAAGATTTGGCAGGCATAAACATAAAACTCCTCGCTTACTACCTGTTAATCAGTGTTTAGACTAATTAATAATGTAAAATAAATGGTAAGATTAGGGAAAAGTATATCTTGATTTAATTCTTTTTCACATTCAGTATAACAGATCATCTTTAAATGACGATAGTCTTATCTTTGTAAGATAGCGCCATCTATATCCTGTTTGTTACGATACTGATTAATGTTTTAATAGAAATTTTCTATCTATTTTTATATACCTCTAAATCTAATTAAATCCATATATATTTCAGTTTTAATTACAAATGATAATACAATATGTTAACATTGTGGTTGGTCATCAACAACATTTGATCTTGTTTATTAGTCAGTCCAAAATTCACAAATAAACATTTATAATATTTATAGATAATTTTTCGATTTTAATTTTAAATGATTGATAACAAAAACAATTTTTTCTAGATCTTGTTCTCAACTACCATACAACTGTTTTCCAACGAACAAGAAAACTAGCATCATGGTCCGCTATTCACGTAGGTTAATTTTAAATTTTTTCTTGAGAAATTAAAAAAGAAAACATTTATTTAGGCACTGTTGAAAATCCAGCAAAATCTTGCAAAACTCGTGGAGCTTACTTACGTGTTCATTTTAAAAACACACGTGAAACAGCTAACACACTTAGACGCATGACTTTACGACGTGCAACACGTTATTTAAAAAATGTTATCAATAAAAAGGAAATCGTTCCATTTAAACGATATAATGGTGGTGTTAGTCGTAAAGCACAAGCTAAACATTTTAAAGTTTCACAAGGTCGTTGGCCAAAGAAATCTGCTGAAATTCTTTTAGGATTATTAAAGAATGCAGAATCAAATGCTGATGTTAAAGGTCTTGATGTTGATCATCTTGTTATTGATCATATTCAAGTAAATCGTGC